ATATATATATATATATATAGTCGAGTCGTTGCAAGACGAGAATAAGAACGGAGAACGGAGAACAATTGCGAACGAAGCGTAATTGAAAAGAAATTTGCTTACCGCGGGGTAATTTCCTCGATTAATTTCTCATCCATATAGTCGACGATAGTTATCAACTTCTCCCCGTCGATCGGTGCTTCGTAGACCTTCTCTTCGATGAGATCTAACGGACAATTGGCGTATGCCGTCGACACATGGACAAACGACTGAAAGTTGCAAAATTGCTTGCTAGAATTGCAGTGTTAGTTCACGTTTATGTACACGCATATATACACGCACGTGGAGGAGCAAGGAACAAGGGACAATTGGAAAGAAGAATTTTTTATTTACCTTCAAACAGGGTATTTCCTTGCAGAGATTCATTACCTCTATCGGACTACGAACGTTGATAGGTACGGCAAGTTTTATTTTCTCGTCAAATCTGACCGTTGCCGCAACATGAAAAACAATGGAGACTTCTCGCGTAACCGTTTGCCTGTCCACGGCAGACATGCCGAGACCTGGTTGACTGCAATCTCCGGCTACCACGACGATTTGATGCCGAAATTTTGGTTGCTTCTCTTTCAGTTTGTCAAACAGCTAAATAAAAAGGTAAATTAGCCATTGGGACGGCAGACGTAAGACGGCGGATCGTCGGTGGTGAAGTTTCAAGAAGACAGGGAGAGAAACTGCATTCAGAAACTACCGGTACGCTAGTAGGTGAGTTGGCCAACCTAGATTGGCGAACCCGGTTCTATCCGTAGATAAAGAGGAGGAGGCTGAACGTGGAAAAACGGGAGGAGGAGGTGAGAAAAAGAAAAAGTGAAGAAAGAAGAGAGCTGCGAAATGTCCGGTTCGCGTCGAAATGTCTCGATCGATCCCGAGCGATGCCGGAGGCGCAAAAGTCCAGGCTAGTCGGAGAATCTGGAATCGGCATCTGCTCTGCTCTCTGTGATCTCGAAAAGAGAAGAGGAAAAGCTCCCGAAAGGAAGCTCGGAAAAAGGAAAGAAAGGAAAGAAGAGCTAGAGAGAAAGAATCAAGTAAGAGAGATCTTTACCGGGTCGTCGAAGATTTCTTCGATACGTTGATGCATGTCCTTCCCCTTTTTCGGACGTATCAACAAGTAGACGAACGAGATGCCAGGACATTCTCGAAGAAGTTTCTCGATCAAAAGTTTGCCAACGAATCCGGTACCACCGGTGATGAAGATGCTTTGCCCATTGTAGAACTGTTGAATCGGGCTCAGATTCGACTGTTCTAAAATCGAATGCTCGCAACGATCGCTTCGAGCCAATCGTTCCGTCCGATTGCCAACGTCGTCCGATTTGCGATCGTTACCCAAGGCGGCCGCTTCTTGGCCACCAGGCTCCACCAAAACTTCCACCATCGCGTCGTTTCGTCTGTTTGCTGCGCGTTCGCTGCGTTCGCTGCGCGTGACGTTTCAACACGTTAACGATATTCGTAAAACAATCAAAGGAACAAACAAACAAAAACAAAGAAACAAAGCACGCTGTATCGCGACAAACAACGTCCGTTTCACGTCACACAACTGTTTCTACTCTCGCGACAACTAGTCTGTCTCTAGAACTCTCTCACAGACGAGAGAAACTGCGTACATCATCGCGTCATAGAGTGAAAGTTGATCGTGAACTTGGTCGCCGCGCGTCTTTTGCCACGTTCCAAATTCAAATCCTCGTCGTCGATAGCTCGCGCTCGTCGTCGACGGCTACGAAATTATATTATATTATCCGAAGTTTGGAACTTGCTCGATACTTGTACTCTTTATTGCTATTATACGACGTATAATATCATCCGTAACACTCACTCTACTACTACTACTACTACTACTACTACTACT